CTTCCTTCCTTCCTTCCTTCCTTCCTTCCTTCCTTCCTTCCTTCCCCTTTCCTTCCCTTTATTCCTTCTCCTTTCTCTTCCTCCTCCTCCTCTCCCCAAACCCTCCTCCCTTCTAGCACTGAGGATGTTACCTAGTTGGGTCATAAAATGCCTGCAAGAAAAACCACCCAGCTCAGAGAGCACCAAGGACCCCACATTCCTCCTCCTCTTCCTCCTCCTCATCTTCACAAACCCCACTTCCTTCTAGCACTATTACCTAGTTGGGTCACGAAACGTCTGCAAGAAAACCACCAAACTCGGGGGGGGGGGCCTCCCAGGACCCCCACTGTCCTCCTTGGCTGTCTTAACAGACCAATCGAAGGACAACGAAGCAAGGACTTTAGGATGACATCAGGTCAACACCTGCCGTTGAATGCATGACTCCAAGACGACGGAGCCAGCGTGCGCGCCACGGACTTTCGCAGAGACATGCTGGCCTACCCCTTGCCCTTCTGTCCCGCGCGCTGGTCAGAAGGGCAAGGTGTCAAGTTGGCATTTAGCAGGTTCACAGGAACGGCAGGTGAGACTGTGAATCTCACCCCTGACCTTTGCAGAGGGGACAATACCTACAGCAATAAGGGCTGGCCCAATTCATATGAGGAACCATGTTTTGGTTACCTAAACGGTCCCTTTCAGGGCCACGAACAATAAATTTTTTTTAACAAAACTCTAGCATCGGCCTGAGTAATTGCAACACCTGTGCCACCTTGTGGGTATGCATCAGTAAATCTTGTTTCCATAGTCACTGTAGGCATGCGTTGTAAGCATGCAAGCAAATTTACAACCCCCATCCAAACGGCACCAAATTGCAAAAAGCTTCTACTTTTCACTTAAAAACCACCCAGTATTTATTTCAATATAACAATATTTGCATAGCAGTTAGCATAAAATATCATAAAAATCAATGGCCTATCCCAAAAAAATGTCATAAACCAGAAACTGCAAACCGTAAAGCGTGCAGGACTTTTGCACACAGCTGCAACTGAATAGGTAAAGATAGTCCCTGCTCCGTCAAAAAGGCAGCCAGAGCTAATTCAGGCCTACGACGTAACCCATGACAGGTAGCTCTCCATCTAGCAGAGTTCGTTTAGTGACCGTTCAAAGCTACGGCGGCTTCAACGGAGAGATTTAAGACCATTTTTTCAGACTTACGACCGTTGCGGCATTTCCCCAGGGTCACCTGATCCAAATTCAAAGGCTTGGCAATTCACTCATATTTATGACGGGTCATTCTGGCGAGGTCAGTCAATAGGGAAGCCGGATTGGCTTCACTGACTTCCAGGGATTCGTTTAACGACTGTGGCAAGAAAGGTCGTAACATGGGGGGGGGGGGGGGAATTCACTGAGCGACTGTCTCTCTCTTAGCAACCGAAATTTGGGGCTCCATTCTGATCATAAGGTGAGGACTAACCTGTATTGTCTTTCTGCCACCAAAGAGAGGGAAGATAATTGGGAATAGTTCACTTAGCGACCGTTCAAAGTTACGACGCTGCTGGAAAAATGTGACTCGTGGCCGTTTTTCACACGACCACTGCAACATTCCCCCCCTCCCCAGCGGTCCTGTGATTTGCATTCGGACGCTTGGGCAGCTGACTCACATTTATGACAGTGGCGGTGTCCCTGGGGAAGGGGGGGGGCGTTTCACGTGATTCCCCTCTTACGACTTTCTGACAGGCAAAGTCAAGAGGGAAGCCGGATTCGCTTATCGACCGGGTTATTAATTTAACAACGGCAGCCATTTCCCCTTAACAAACATGGCCAGGAAAGTCGTAAAATGGAAGCCAAACTGACTTAAGACTTATTCCTCAGCAACGTAGATTTGGGGCTCAGTTGCGGTCGTAAGTTCAGGACTACTTGTAAAAAGGTGGCAGTGGCAGTGTCATACCCTTGTCGGAGTCTGAATCTGAGGAGGAGGAAGATGAGGAGCCAACAGGGAGCGGGAAAGTGGCTCCGTTGGCTGGGGAGGAAACTGGGGAAGAGCAAAGTCCGGCTGGGCAGAGCAGGGAAGAGGGAGAACAAGGGAGAGGGAGTTCAGAAGAAGACCCAGGCACACCCCCTCTTCATCCCAGGGCACGCAGGGAGGAATGGAGAAGGGAGCAACGGGGGTTGCATGGCTTACAGGGAAGGAAAGGGCCCTGATTCCCTTCATTAGCCACAGCTGAGAAGAGAGTTTAAAAGAGATGCAAGCTAAGTGCAGTAGCTGCTGGGAGCAAACGTGAGTTTTATCTTGTGATGACTTTGGTTATCTGTGTTCCCGGCATCCTCCCAACCATGTTGAATTACTGCCGTTCCTTCATATCTGGAATTCTTGCTCCTGCCTTGCTGGACTAATGACCTTATTTAGCATTGATTGGACTTATAGTTACAGTTTTAGTTGACCATGTTTTGGACTTGATTCCCTGCAGCTAAAGGCTGTTCCTGGGAGAGGTTTTCTCCAGCTCAGAAGGTAACCAGGACATTGGGGACAAAGTTGGAGCTAATAAAGGGACTCCTCCTGATTATCCGGTTGTGTTGCCTTGTTGCCACACCCCTTTGGGTCATTAAAAGGGAGAGACAGATGTTATAATAAGCATCCCGATTTTTCCTGGGTCTGTTTCCACACATGGCCTATTTGGTTATCTTAGCAGGAACATCTGTGCAAGTCGGTGTTTAACAGGCCGCAGAACTGTTATCTTTAATAATTGCTCCTGCTTAATTGATATAATTGACTGGCAAATGAAGAGGCTGGAAGACATTTCTTTCGTGGGGGAGGAGGGTGAATTCTGCTTTGTGGGAGTCGTTTTTGTGCAGGATTTTTTTTTAAAAATGGAGTTAATTATCCCAATCTCGAGTTTTACATCAAGACAACTGCTGTTGCTTAAATACCCATGTCATTTAACCACCATATTCTTTTCTTCGTAATGGAGCGAGCGGCTATTGCAGCGTCTGTCAGGTTTAGGTTTTATGTTTACAAAAAATAAAACCCAAGCTGATTTTTATTTGGCTTTGCGGTAAAGAGGAGGAGGGAAAATGATGGGTGCGACCAAATGAATTGCAACTGCCGGCTTTCTGGCAATAATTATTCATGGGTCCATGTGGAGCAGGGAAGAGGAAGAGGAGGAGGACTGGAGGATAATGTCATCAGTGCTAGAAGGGAGGGGGGGGGGGGGGGGGGGGGGAGGGGGAGGAGGAGGAGGAGGAGGAGGAGGAGGAATCCTTGATGCTTTCTGAGCTTGGTGGGTTTTTTGCAGACGCTTCGTTACCCAACTAAATATCATCATCAGTGCTAGAAGGGAGTAGGGGTTGTTAGTAGTAGTAGTAGTAGTAGTAGTAGGAGGAGGAGGAGGAGGAGGAGGAGGAAGAGGAGGAGGAAAATAATGACTGTGGGGTGCTTGGTGCTCTCTGAGCTTGGTAGATTTCCTTGCAGACCTTTCATTATCCAAGTAGGTAACATCCTCAGTGTGTCATTAGCATCAACCTTAGCACTGATGATGTTACCTACCTGGGTAATGAAAGGTCTGCAAGGAAATCTACCAAGGCCCCCCCACAATGGCTGTTCTGCCTGCCAGGCCCCCACTTTGGGGCACGGCCCGATGTGTAAATCCCAGAGTGGGGAGACAAAAGCCGGCCTCCGGTTCCAATCGCCTACCTGGGCCTCTTTCCCTTTTTGTTCGAGGTGAACCATTTTCGGGTAGCCGCCACCGTCCCCCTTGGCTCTCCTGCCCCGCTTGGCCCAGCTCTCCAAGCGCGTCTTTTGCAAGTCGATGGTGCTGTAGAGCTGGGACAGTTTGGGAGACACCTGCACTCGCTCCTGCCCGAAAGCTCGGATCAACCTGGCCGTGTTGATGGTCGACGCCGACTCGCTGCCCTCGGTCGCCGTGGCGCTTTCGGTCTCGGTCCGAGTCCCTTCGGACTCGGAGGTCATGCCGGTCGCCACGCTGGCATCTCTCCTCGGTCTCAGGTCCGAAGACGTCTCGCTCGGCGTCTCAGAGGCCAGGCCCCCGTCCCGGTTTCGAGCCCCGGGTTCAACCGCCCCGCCGTGTCCGGTTTTCGGGTGCCGGGATTTGGACGGCCAGGTGCCACTGGGACCCACCAGGGCTTCCTCCGACGTTTCCACGCTGGGCCGCAATGCTGCTTTCTTCCTGGCCGCCATCTTTTTGCCTCGCGGGCTGCCTAGCCTGGCTGCTTTCCTCCTGGGCTCCTTCTGGTCCTCCAGGGCCAGGGAATGACGGAGGGGATTCTGCAGGAGGCGGGCCAGGCGGTCCAGCCGCTCCACCAGCGAGAGCTCGGTTTTGTGGTTGCTTTCGATGGGCTTCAGCTGCTGCTGGTTCTGTCGCTCCAAATACTTGGCCCAAAGAACATCTAAAGGGCTGCTTCGATGGGTGCTGGGCCCCCTTGGCAGATCCGCTACCCACTTCTCCTTAATCGGCCGGCTTCCCGGAGGAAGTTGGCTCGCTCTTCCCGAGCTCGTCGTTTGGGCATCGGGCCAGTCTTGTCGGGAAGCGTGCTTGGATTTGATTTCCTCAAGGAAACTATAATCTACCTCACCCGTCAGTGGGATAAAGCGTTCTTCGCTTTGGGACAGGTGCAGAGGGGGCCGCGGGAAAGGACTGCTTTCTAGGATCCCCTCACGTGGCAGTAAATCTTGTGGGGAAGGGGCTGGCCCACCAGAAGCCGCATCAACTTGTCCCAAAGCCTTGTTCCCGGGAGGGGGATTTGGATCATCCTGCAAAAGCGACTTCAGAGGAGGCTGATCAGATTCATAGGCAGGCTGGGAAGTTCGGAGCGATCCCGAGGGATTCCGGCCACCGCAGCTTCCTAAGCAAAAAAGGGGGAAGGGGATCAAGGGAAGAAAAAAGGATCAATTAGATCTTGCGTTCATTTAGGAGAGAAGCGTTATTTTTATACCGCGTGGCTGTTGACATTCGTGGCGGGTCCAAAGAAACAAGAACGACAGCTGGAGGATTGCGGAGCAATTGTTTGGAATCGCTGTTCGCTTACGGACAGAATCTTGCCGGACGAAAGCAATTATCTGCATAACTGTTAAGTCAGGGGGATCCAACTGTGGCAACTTTTAAGACTTTGGGGACTTTATGTCGGCTGGGGAATTCTGGGCGTTGGTCCACAGGGCTTAACTAACGTTGCCAAGGTTGGCTACCTCTGATCTACAGTTATGCAGGAAACGGCTTTAATCTGGCAAGATTCTGTCTGTAGGTGTCTGAGGAGATGTCTATGGAGATTCTCAGTCATCCAGGTCATAGTTTGTCTCAAAGGTACCTTATTTTTTCTTCTTTGCTTCAAAAGGCAACTGGACTGTTTTTCTTTTTATCCAAGAAAGAAGAAAAAGAAGAAAATGTTTTCCTTCTCATCCAAGAAACTTCATTGGTTCTGATCAGGGATGGCTTCAGAAATTTTAGCAAAGGGTTCTCATGGGCATGGCCATGGTGGGCGTGGCGTAGTTGGCCTCCTGCACCACGGTGAGGGGGGTGGGTGGCGTTTTTGCCCTCTCCGGGCTCCGGAGGCTCACTGGAAGCCAGAAATGGGCCCGTTTCTGGCCTTCCGAAACTTCTGGGAGGCCCGTTTTTCACCCTCCCCAAGCCTCCGTGCACGCCCTGCACTTCCCAGCATCCAAAATGGGCCGTGTGGGGACTCCTGGGAATGGAGGAGGGTGGGGCCAGCCAGGAGTGGGATTGGGGGGTTCTCTGAACGGCACTGTCATGCCTGTCAGAATCTGATTCGGAGCGGGAGGCTGAGCAGCTGACAGGGAGTGGGAATGTGGCTCCGTTGGCTGTGGAAGAGCACAGTCCAGCTGGGCAGAGCAGGGGAGAGGGAGAACAAGGGAGAGGGAATTTGGAGGAAGACCCAGACCCACCCGCTCTTCATCCTAAGGCACGCAGGGAAGAATGGAGAAGGGAGCAACATGGGTTGCGTGGCTTACGGGGGAAGAAAGGGCCCTGATTACCTTCCTTAGCTGCAGTTGGGAACCCAGTGCTTAAAAAGGGAAGCTGCGCACAGCAAGTGGTTGGGAGCAAATCAGGAATTTATCTGGTATCGTCGAGGCTTATCTGGGTTCCTGGCATCTTCCCAACTGTGTGGGTTTTGGCTGTGCTTTCAAGTCTGCAATTCCTTCTCCTGCCCTGCCAAGTTAATCACTGCAGAATGGGTTTGTGTGGATTTTTAGTTACAGTTTTTGTGTACTTTGTTTTCAGACTGAATTTCCTCCACTTAAAGGCTGTTCCTGGGACAGTTTTTCTCCAGCTGAAAGTAACCTGGACACTGGGGGCAAAATTGGAGATAATAAAGGGACTCTTCTTGCTTATTTTGACTGTGTTGCCTTTGTGCCACGCCCCTTGGGGTCACCGCATACACAGAATCTTAGCTAGGGGCTCTCCCAAACCCCTGCGAACCCCCAGCAGCCCACCCCTGGTTCTGATGGTGGTGGGGAGGATGGAAGGATAAAGTACTGCCAGTTGAGACTGGGTGTGTGTGGGAGGATAGATTCTGATAGGATGGCGGGGGTGAGGAGTGGATAGGACAGGTAGTCCTCAACGGACGACCACAATTGAGCCCCAAGTGTATGTTGTTAAGTGAGAAATTCCCTCAGTGAGCTTTGTCCATTTTAGGACTTCCCTCGCCACCTTCGTTAAGTGAATCGCTGCAGTTCTTAAATTAGGTTGTGATTTAGTTCCCCCTTGAATTTGTTTGTGGGAAGGTCACAAAAAGGGATAATGGGACTCTGGGAGAATCTACAGACTTCTTTCAAAAAGATCGAGAAATTCTAAATGGCCCCATGAATGAGCAGGAACACTTCTTATGTAACAACAAAATAAAATAAAACAATAATAACCGAATTGCTAAATTCATTCACTGGAAAATTGTGCCAAAAGTTTGGATTTGAGTATAGTAACAACTACTGGGAATATCAGGTTGAGAAGGTTCTGGAGAATGGAAAAGCCAAGATCTTGTGGGACTTCAGAATTCAGACGGACAGGCACTTGGCCCACCACACACCTGACATAACCATAGTTGAGAAGAAAAAGGATTTGGTTCATTGACATGGCGATACCTGGTGATGCACGAATTGAAGACACGCAGCAAGAAAAAATCACAAAGTATCGGGACTTAACAAACTGAAGTTAAGCAACTTTGGAAAAAGAAATCGTGTGTTACTCCAATTGTGATTGGAGCCCTTGGAGCAATACCTAAAGGGCCGCCTCGCTATTTGGAAATCCTGAATTTATCAGACTGGAATACCCTGATTCTACAAAAAAACCCACCCTACTTGGGACAGCTTATATCCTCCGACGCTACCTGAACAGTTCCTAAGTCCTTGGTTAGGACTCGAGCTGTTGAGCTATCAACCAGCCCCAAAGGCTGTGAATCTCACCAAAGATTAACAACAACAACAACAACAACAACAGCTGTCTTTCAATATTTGAAGAGCTGCCACAAAGAAGAGGGGGTCAACTTATTTTCCAAGCACCCAAAAACAGGACAAGAAGCAAGGGATGGAAATTGTGGGTGCTCCAACATTGGGAGGCTTTTAAGAAGAGACTGGACAGCAGTTTATGCAGAATAACACAGCGCCTCCTGTTTGAGCAGAGGGGGTTGGACTAGAAGACCTCCCAGGTCCCTTATAACCCTATTATTCTAGGTTCTAAGTTTTACGAACCAACGTCCTGAGTCAAAGCCTTGTCACTCTCAGTGCCTAAACTCTGTGCTATCACCAGATCCAGAAGAATTAGGAGGGGCGTGATAGAAATGTTCCAACTTTTGAGGGGCTGCCCCAAAGAAGAAGAAGAGGGGGTGGGTGGGTTTCCATCTATTCCTCAAAGCCCCTGAAGGCAGGACAAGAAACAATGGATGGAAACTAATCAAGGAGAGAACCAACCTGGAACTAAGGAGAAATTTCTCGAAAATGAGGACCATTAACCAGTGGAACAGCCTGCCACCAGAAAAGGTGGGTGCTCCGTCACTGGAGGAGGAAACTGGACAGTCGCTTGTCTGAAATGGGACAGACTCTCCTGCTTGGGCGTGGGGCTGGACTAGAAGACCTCCAAGGCCCCCTGCAGCTGTATTCTGAGTGATTTTGCTGAAGAAACATACCCTTTAGGGGATCCTCAACCAGGAGGCCGTTGGTGTGTCCACTCTGCCCATGGCCAAGTTGCCTGACACTCTTCAGTGGCAACCACTGTGACCTCATCACCTCAACCCACACTACACCCATCACCGATCTTTCCTCTTGAAGGACCCATGGCTTTTTCACCTGGAAACCAAAGGATCGCAGTCCCAGAACAAAAATCTTTGTTTTGACAATACACCTGCCCAGGATCTCCAGTCTGCAAACGCTACGCAGTTGGAAGGATTTGTCCTGTACAAACACCCAAGATGACACAAGGCACCACAAAGGTGGGTAGCTGGGAAAGACGGATGAAGGGATTTTGGAAGGGCGAGGAGAGAATTCAAAAACGAGACCGAGTTATACAAAAAAATCTCTCCTTGTTCAGTTTCCATCCATTATTCCTTGTCTGGCCTAAAGTAGGCCAGACAAGGAATAATGGATGGAAGCTGAACAAGGAGAGATTCAACCTGGAAATAAGGAGAAACTTTCTGACAGGGAGAGCAATCAACCCATGGAAAAGAAGTTGCCTTCAGAAGTTGTGGGAGCTTCATCGCCAGAAGCTTTCAAGAAAAGATTGGGCTGCTCTCTGTCTAAAATGGTGTAGGGTCTCCTGCTTGGGTGGGGGGTTGGACTAGATGACCTACAAGGTCCCTTCCAACTCTGTTAATCTGAATCTGTCTAAGATGATCAAAGGCCTGGAGACTAAAACATACGATGAACAGTTGCAGGAATTGGGCCTGGGTAGTCTAGGGAAGAGAAGGACCAGGGGAGACAGGAGAGCAGCCTTCCAATATTTGAGGGGCTGCCCCAGAGAGGAGGAAGGGGGTCAAGCTATTTTCCAAGGCACCTGAAGGCCAGACAAGGAACAATGGATGGAAACTGAACAAGGAAGAGATTCAACCTGGAAATAAGGAGGAATTTCTTGACAGTGAGAACAATCAGCCAGTGGAACAGAAGTTGCCTTCGGAAGGAGCTTCATCCCTGGAGGCTTTCAAGAAGAGACTGGAGTGTTACTTTAGGGAAAGGCGTCACACCTTAAAAGTGATTACAGGGGAAATTCTTTGCTAAAGAGAAGAGATAAATAGATGATTGGAAAAGAACGGACAAAAGATACAAACATAATGATTTTGAAATAAGATGAAATAAACAAAATATAATTAAGAGAGTGAAAAGAAGGGAGAAGTTATATAGAAAATATAGAATGGCTAATAAGATATGAATGGTATATAAGGTGAGCACGAACTTGATTTAGGTCTGTAAAAAAAGATGTAACCCGGGGCTAAGCCACTTTTCAAAAGAAGTTTAATGTTTTATGTTTTGTGTTTTGGTTAGCTATGTTTTGATTGTGAATTAATAAAACCTTGGAGGAATAAAACTAAAGGGAGAGAAATTTGGAAAAGATATGTATAAATGATAATTAAGGAGGTTTTATCTTTTTATGTCTTGTTTTATGTTTTGTATTTTGTGTGGTTATGCTTGATGGACAATTAATAAAACCTTGATAGAAAGAAATATAATTGAATAAAAGTGAAGGGAGAAATAATGAGAAATTTGGAAAAGATATATGTGTTTAAATGGAAATGTGATAATGTGGAACTATGCCTTAAAAATAATGCTTTATTTGCCTTGTTAAAACTTATAAGTAATTTTTGAGAAAGGAGGTTTTATACTTTGATGTTTTATGTTTTGTTTGTCTTTAAAATCAATAAAACTTGCTTTTTTTTTAAAAAAAAAAGAAGAGACTGGACTCCTATCTGTCAGAAATGGTGTAGGGTCTCCCGCTCGACTGGTGGGGGGTTGGACTAGATGACCTACAAGGTCCCTTCCAACTCTGATTATCTGTTATCTGTTAAATCCAACACAGGTAGCCAGGGGTGAGATTCTACCGGTTCGGACCGGTTCGGGCGAACTGGATGTTAAAGTTACAGCTGGTTCGCCGAAACCAGTATTTCAATCGTCCTCCTCGCCCCGCCCAACCTGCCCCGCCCGGGAGTCTCCACGCAGCCCATTTTTGATGCAGGCAAGTGCGGGGCTCACACGGAGGCTCTGGCAGGGGGAGGAAACGGGCCTGTTTCCAGCTTCCGGTGGGCCCCCACAGCCCAGGGGAGGCTATTTTTTTACCCCCCCAGAGGCCCAGGGGAGGCCTCTGGACCCTTGGGATGGCGAAAACGGCCACCGCCGGCCTCTGCGGGCCCACCGGAAGCCGAAAACAGGAAATTTCCGATAGCCCACCATGGCCCCGCCCACCCAGCAACCAGGCAGCGAACCGGTTGCTGGGATTTTTGGAATCCCACAATTCCTGCAAGTAGTCCTCAAGTTATGACCACAACTGAGCCCAAAAGGTATACCTCCAAGCGTGACACGGGGGAAGTGAGTTTTGTCCCCGTTGTACGACGTTTGTTTTCACGGTGGTTAACTGACTCTTGCTTCCCTGTCAACATGGCTTGTCAAGAGGGCTGCAAAAGGGGATCACGTGACACCCACCCCAGGGACGCTGTGACCGTCATTAAATGTGAATCAGTTGTCTCAAGCGCCTGAATGTAAATCGTGCGACCCCGGGGAGGCTGCAACAGTCGTGCTGTTGTAACTGTGGAGGGTCGCTAAGTGAACTGTTATACGCCGAGGAGTCCTTGTGCGAAGTACGCTGGCTGGGGGAATTCTGGGAGTCAAAGCCCACCCGGCTGAAAAGGGGAAAGTTGGAGAAACAGCGCTGCTAAAGACACTCGAAATCAGGGGTGCCAAACTCAAGGCCTGCAGGGAGGATCTGGCCAGAGGGAGGCTTAGATCCGGCCCATGGGAATGCCCTGGAAACAGCGAAAGGATCGGCCCACAGTGCCTCTGCCAGCGGAAACGGAGCTTGGGAAGAGGAGCGCTGCAGGCAGCTCTCATGAGCTCCGTTTTCGGCTGCAACTGCCTCCTGCAGCGCTCTGCCAAAGGAAAGGAGCTCAGGAGCACCACGCACAACCCTCCTGAGCTACGTTTTCGCTGCAGAGTGCTGGAGGACACCATCACAGCCAAAAACGAAGCCTGAGGGGGGTGCCCCCAACACAAGTAATATCACTGCTCAAAGCCCCCAAGGTCAAGCACAAACCCTGATGCGGCTCTCAATGAAATCAAGTTTGACACCCCTGTTCTAAATCATCAGGAACGGATTTACCTCTGGGACCGACCACCGTCGGTGCCGCTGCCCCCGCTTTCTCCTCCATCCAGGCCACCCTTGGAGCGGCCGTCTTACTATAAATGCCCTCTTTGTGTCTGACGATGGCCATGTCCGAAGGATGATCCTTCCTCGAACCCAGGGCCTGCGGGGGGAAATCCGGAGGGACGGCGTCGTTGGAGCCTAGGTGGAAAGAGAGCCGCAGGGACAATGTTCAGAAAAGAGAGAAGCTGGAAAAAAAAGACAGCAAATCGGATTAGACACGGAGCGAAAGAGCCTATAATCATGCCAAGCTGCCCCCCACACACAAAAAGGCCGCAGAACAGCTATAATGCGGAGTAATATTAAACTAAAGAGAGAAGGATGGAGGTCTGGCACGTCTGTAGCTCCTGCTCCTATCGTTTCCAATTAGCTCAGGAAATACTCCGTTGTTCATCACATTGTAATTCTAACCTAAATGCAACAGGGGGTTTAAATTACCTCCCATCTGTTCAGCAGCCATCCAAAACGACGCCTCCCGTTTCTTCAAATCCCGCTGTTTAGTTTTAGAAGTCGAGGCGGCTATAAAAATGCAAGAAATCATGGTGGGGGGGGGGGGCTTGGAGGCCACCTACCCGAATGGGAGCTCTCCACGGTGGTCTCAGACCGGACGCGTGAGAGTTTCAAGGTTCCTTTGCCACAGGGGACGTAATACACCTCGGAGCAGCCGGGAGGTTTGTAGGGCAACACCAAGGGCTTGTCTGAAGAAACAAAGTCGGAGTTAAGATTACTGCAAGAGTCTGCAGAGTGTTTCCCGGAGGCCTGGCAAGCGGCCATCGACAGGCACAGAGAGATCAACGACATTGACGTACCGTTCGTAAGAGACAAGCCAAAAGCCAAAAAAAGGAAAGGAAAAAAAAAAAAACCGAAACGGCGCCTTGCCAGCAATCGACCACTTATAAGCCAAAGCCAGACACCGCGGTGGCTTCAGACTTTGGACGCTGACGCTTCAGCAAGGAAGTGGGAACGAGCTTTCCTAGGCGGACGAAGGTCGAACGACTCCAAAGACAGGGACTGGGTGCTGTAACCCCCCAGGAAGGTATCGATGAATGGAATTGTGCCCCGCCTTACGACTTTTCTTACCACAGTTGTTAAGTGAATCAAGGCAGTTGTTAAGTTAGTAACACGGTTGTTAAATGAACCTGGCTTCGCCCTTGGCTTGGCTTATCAGAAGAGAGAAGGGAGATAGATAGGTAGATAGATAGGTAGAAGAGAGGGAGAGACAGAGAAAGAAAAATCGAGGGAGGGAGAAAGAGAGAACAGAGATAGATAGATAGATAGATAGATAGATGGATGGATGGATGGATGGATGGATGGATGGATGGATGGATGGATAGGAGAGAGAAAGAGGGAGAGAAAAATAGAGGGAGGGAAGGAGGGAGAGAGAGGGAGGGAGAGAGGGGGAGAAAGAGGGAAAGAGATAGAGAAAGAGAAAGGGAGAGAGAAAGAGGGAGAGAGGGAGAGAGGAAGGGAGGGAGAGGGAGGGAAAGAGGGGGAGACAGAGAGAGAAGGAGGGAGAGAAAGAGAGGGAGAGAGATAGTGAGAGAGAGAGAGATAAGGATAGGGAGAGAGGGAGGGAGAGGGAGAAAGAGAGGGAGAGAGAAAGAGAGGGATAGGGAGGGAGGGAGAGAGAGAGAGATTTCTCACCTCTGCTTTGTCCGTCCAAAACAGAGATTTTGGAGATACCGAGCATCGTCTCGTCAGGGGTTTTGTGACCCTTCGGATAAGGAGCTTCTCCATTCTCAGCTGTGACAAAGATTTCGGCAGAATAGGTGGTCTTCTCCGGGCTTTCGGTTGTGATTTGAGTGATGGCATCCGAAGACCTCCATTCGGTTTGGGAAGAAGCCGTAGCCTTCAAGTGGTCCCTTGCACTCAAACTCCGAGTCCCGGCGTCTGTTGGAGACGGGGCTACGTCACCATCTCGGCTTGCCCGGGGCTCTTGAGCGTGTGGTAGGGCTGGTCTAGCCCCCTTCGGAACCTCTTGAGAGGATGCCTCTCGGGGGAAGTATAAGGGTCCTTGAGTCTTTCGCTTAGGTTCTATGGGCTTGGAGGTAGCTTCTAAGGACAGACCGGGAACACCTGAAGAGGTTGGCTTAGGAACCTCGACCTCTCTCCCTTCTGGACCAATATCCACCGGTCCCGAGAGGTCCAATTCCACGCGCTTTGGAGAGAGAGTAAGGTGGACACCAGAAAGGGCTTTCCTGGTGGGCGACGTAGGAGACACCGGTACAGCTGTGGAAAGACAATCGAGGGAAGCCGACTGTAACAAAGTACTCCCACTGCCTCCACTTCTGGGCTTGTGTAAATACGAATCAGAAGTAGACAAATCTTCTCTTCGCCGCGTCTTTTCTTTGCCTTCGGGAAAAAGGGGCTTAGGAGCGCTTCCTGCCTCAGTTGGCGAGCAATTCTGGGGACGCACCTCACCCGTCTTAGGCGGAGGCGACGCCACCGACCTTTCCATTTTAGATCCGTTGGCGTAAATATTATCCAGCGTTTTCGCGTATCGCCTCTGCTCGGCAAGACCTGGATCGGAAGCTTGCTTGTCCTCACGGACCTGGCGAACGAGGTCCTTCAGCTCGGCACCTCTTCTTGGGGATCCCTCCAGGGAAGGACCCAGACCTTCTTGACGAGGGTCGTCCCTGGCCACCTTGGTAGACCCAAAGGGAGGAGATGCAACGTCCTTCTCTGAAGCGCGAGCGGAAGCGACGCCGGCGGAAGGGCGAGCTTGGTAACTTGGCAGCTGTGAGCCACCCAACTTCTGGCATTCCCGGTTCACGGACCGGGTTTCCAAAGATACGGGATCGCGAGGGGGAACGTCGGCAAGGAGAGTCCGGGGAGGGCGGGAAGCGGGAGAAGGCGACCTCCTCCGAGATGCGAAGGTGATAGAGGTAATTTGAATGGCTGCTTCGACGGAGGTGCTGCTCTCGGACAGATCCAATGGGGCTGCTACATTCCCGTCCTCTTTCGCGGGGGCGTTCGAGGCCCTTTGGAAATGCATGTCCAAGGGAAGGTGAGAATTGGCTTTGGAGTCCAAGGCGTTACTGGGAGCTGGCTGCCGTTGGCCGGAGACAGGAATCTGGGCACCGTGGGAGAGTTCGACCTCCGGCTCGGCTGTTAAGGCGCCATCCGCCGCAGGCTCCATGTTTTCCCCGGAGAACTCGGCCAGCTGCAAACCGTATTTCTGAAGGGCAGTTTGCAAGTCGTGGTCTCTTGGCTTCTGCAAGGAGCCCGATTCTACCGTTGCAGCCAGGTTGGAGTTTGGAAGTCTCTGGAAGCTGCTTCTCCACTGCTGGTTCTATTCAGGATTCAAAAAGGAAGAGGTTCACAAGGGGCAGATAATAACACCAGAGGACGGTGGGTTTAAAGAGGAGCTTTTAATGCCCATCTGTCAGAATGAAGAGTGGGGTGAGGAATTTCTCATTTACCTCCTAATTCTCAGAGAAATAGAGATTTTTGGGGATGTTATGAGCGACTTTGGTCTAGTGGTAAAGGCACCAGGCTAGAAAGCGGGTAACTCTGTCAGAGTATATTCATGAACTGG